CGAGTAATAGTGAGTATAATGAAAAATCTAAACCAAATATGAAAGGAAAAAATTATGAAATTAGAAGTTTATATATAGTCTCATAAAAATTTATAAAAAAGTTTTGGAGACGTCCTTTACTAAATTCTTGAGTTTTACTTTGGCTATGTAAGAAACTATTGTTCCAATTCTTGTGATTTTCTTTGCCGTTGGTAAATGACAAACAAACTTAAAGAGGATTTGATTGATTTGTAAACATTAAACACACAAAGACGATGAAAATGTGGTTGGTTATATGTATATAATTGTTTCGTGTTACCTTGAAGACCAATATCTTTGTTAAGTTGTACAAAACCTAAAAGCTACCACACAAACATCGGATTACTTGAGAAGCAAGAAACTGTAAATGTACAAACTGCATTACTGGATCTATAATCATATAATCAAATTTACCAAAAATCAACGACCTGGAAACTAAATTCGAGCTGAGTTCTCAATCGCCATTGCTACCGTTATCGGTGTGACCTCCATTGCTGTCTTCATAACTCTTGCCATTCACTTGATGAGCCCTTGGTCTCTGAAACACCAAAAAAAGAAATTAAACACATTAGGATCAGTTTATTAAGTTCTCAATCGGAAATGACTGAAGACTAATTCAGATGCGTACCCATTCTGCAGGATCAGCACCATTCCCGTTCACGAGTTTGTGATTCTCTTCTTTGGTTCTGTCTTTCGAGACAGGGAGCAATGCCGTTGTTCGATCAGGCAACTCTGTTTTGAAAACAAAATCATATGAGAATTTCGGGGGGTTTCTGCAAGTGATTTCTCAAGTAAAAAAAAACAGACCTGGTAATTTCTTATCGAGGAAGAACACAACCAAGTTCACGGTATACCACGCAACCACAACATCGACTGTGTAATGTTTACGGGACGCGATAATCAAGAGGCTTTGCAAGATGGCAATGACCCAACCTAACAGCTTTATGAATCTGAGCAAGAGAGAGACATTCGTAAGCTAATAAAGGATGGTTTTTTCCAGTTATTGTTCAAGGTATTGTACGACATTTCAAGTGAAATTTTGTACCTTTTAGTACCGTATTTCTGGTAAGTGCGGACAAAGACTAATGTGAATATCATGTGAGACGAGAAAATAAGATCTCCACATCCGTATATCACCCCACGAGGAACTGGCAAGATCAGTGTATTATCACATAAGAACGAGAAGAAGCATACGTCAGAGAAAGAGTCAAGGGAAGGGAAAAATGTTAAAACTCACAGTTAAGTAAGAGAACCTCATGAACGCTCTGTGGTCTAGGCAACCTGGCAAGCTCAGAACCCTGTAAGTAACACAAGAGTCTCACCAGAATAAACACATGAAAATATGGATGATACGCCAATTGTATAGATCTTTACTTGGTTTTACCTCTCGACAGTGATAGTTAGGGCCAGGAAGCTGAGTCGAATAGAATGTTAATACTCGGAGAAACTGACAAGCCTGTTAATGAAAAGAATTTGCAACAAACTTCAAGACGTAAATCTTTGAATTGCATTTATGTAGCAAAGGGTAAAGGGTACTTACGGTTAAAAAGGCGAGAACTCTGCACCATATCAATACAGTGTATATCTTCTTGCTTTTAATGATGAAAGGATGGAAAGTCCACTGTAATTTTCAAGGCAAAACAAAGCATCCATATAGAGCTTGCTTTCTCAGAACAGAACCAGACATGAATCCTAGAAACACGAGGAAACTCACCAGGAAAAACGAAACAAATACACAAGTGAACACAGTTTCACTTATGTAGCCTTTATCTTGACCAAGCTCCTAAAAGTTCAAAAAACCAAAAAAAGCTTAAAAACTTGACATATGTTCTGAAGAACAATGGATCAATGAACCAGCTAAAAATATCGAGACAAACCGGAAGAACAAAGAACCCAAGATCTTGAAGCGTCGGTCCTGGTCGATGAATATAATGAACTCCCCTAGCAGCTAAACCATGAATATACTGCACATAACAGGTCCATTCATAAAAGTGTCAAAACTAACACAAATTCAAGACTTAACTAAACCAAAGAAACCAAGAGACATAAAGCCATAAAGGTAAGTCCAAAAACACACCCAAAAAAACAAAAAGGGTAATTTGAAGTCTTGTGCTTTACTTTCTTCCAAGGCCTAAAGTTACAATAGGTATACCAAACCATGATCATAACCTTTTACTGTTTCTTACATTTTCATTTTCAGACTTAAACAGAAAGAAACCGAATATCTGGCGAAATGGTAACCATCTTATACTAAGCGCAAAAAGAAATCGAATTCTAATCACACTTAGAGTCATTGGATGATATATATGCAGCTCTAGTGCATTCAATTACAGATTGACGTTAACCAGAAAACTGAATTTAACAAAAATGGGAACCTGACAAAGAAGACCAGCAAGAAGGTATTTCCAGTTCTCAGCGAAAAGACCAATCTCCGTTGTTATTTCCGAACAAACTCTCTTCCATAGCTACAAACAAAACAATGAACCCCCAATTTACCCAAATCAGCCAAATTAACCCACACAATTAAAAAAAAAAAAACCAAAATCAGAAAAAGGAAGAACCTTTGAAGCTTCGCGGCGAATGTAAAGCGTCATTGTCTTCTTCTTTATTGATGCTCTTTCACTTCCATAGTCCTTCAGACCCCAACAATTTGTGTAAAGAACCAAAATACACTCAACAAATTCAAAATTTCACCACCTAATCACACAATTATCTGAAAAAGCCCGAAAGTTTTCACCGGAACCCAAGTCGGGGAAAACGCTGCTGATTGGAAGATGGATCGAGGAATCGGAAATTGTTGAAACGAGAACGAAGGTGAAACCAAAAGGGAAAAAAACCCAAGAGATCAAAAGACGAGAGAGAAACAAAAGTGAAAAGGAATTTTTTGTTTTTCCCTTTAGCAGGATCTGAGAGAAGGATGATAGAAGAACAAAGCCCTAAAACGATTTCTTCGTTGCCTCAAAAATCTCTGAGAGAATGAAGAAAAATCTGCGTTTTGCAGAACAACATCGTTTGGGTGTACGATAAAACGCGAGTTCAACACGGAGGAAACGGTTGAAACTTTTATTTGAAAAATAATGGCGACTTTTATTCAGAAGCCCCATGAGAGAAAATGACAATTTAATTGAGAAAATTCCTTCAAAATACTTTAAGGTGGTGTTATTCAATGCGA